GCGCCTACTGAACGTGATGTCTTCCTTAACATTAGTAAAGGTATCCAAGAGATACTAAAGTGACCCACGCTTTTCTTTATAGTTATTTAAATAGTAGTCTATAATTTATTTTCTACTTTTTAGTGCATCATTACATAAAAGCTTGTTATTAAAACGTTTTTTATGAATTTTTTTTATTACAGTCTTTTATTGAAAACTGTTAGTAAAGGTCTAATTAATGTCGGTAAGCTTTCATAAGAAGATAGCCATTTTAAAAGAATATTTCTTTTGTGACAATTTGTAGGGGAGTTATTTCTTAATTAGTGCTTCTTCCAGACATTTTTCTATGGGGGAGTGGGAGGGAAATGACACGTGAAACTTTCGGGGGAGCGTACTTAAATTTTTGGGGTTGGGGGAGGGATAATGGTTAAAGCATATATTTAAAATATATAAGATATGCCTGTAAGAAACTCTGTTCTTAGTTCAGATAGTTTAACCTGCAGGTATAGAAACTACACGAAAGCAAATAGGCTGTAAAAAAACTTAGGCATACCCTTCTCCATCTCTTTATCTAGTACGTGCACAGGCGTCGCGAGGCGGGCGCGGGGGTGCGGACCGCACCGGGTGACACCAATTAGGGGTAGGGTGGTGACAAGGAGGACGAAGAATTGCAAAACAAATATAGAAGAAAAATGCTTTTGCCTGTTCAGTTAATGAATAATTAAAAGTTTTAAAGTCTTATCAATACACATTGACTATCTCGACAATACATTCTCTCTCTCTCTCTCACACACACACACACACCCACCCACCCACCCACACACCCATATATATATATATATATATATATATATATATATATATATATATATATATATATATATATATATATATATATATATATATGTGGGTGTGTGGGTATATATATATATATATATATATATATATATATATATATATATATATATATATATATATATATATATATATATATATATATATATATATATGTTCTTTTTTGGTGGGATGACACCATGGCCTAGCGACGCCAATGAGTACGGGCAGCATTGTATTATAGCCTGCCTAATACAAACTTCTGCATTTAAATTATTTTCAGACCAGATGCGTTGCAAGTAGAGTTCACCTGTTTCAGTGGCCACGGTATATAAAGGGATAGTTCGGTCAGCACTATGCCCAGATGCCTTTACTTTCCCTATCATGTTAGGTACACATCATAGCTGGGTGGACTCAGTGATATTCTACTGACTTGAACCCGGATTCAAACTCCGTACTTCTACTTAATGTGTGTGGCTAACTAGCTGATATGGCATACTTTGGGCGATGTGGGTGGATAACTTGCTGCCGATATTAATTTCATATGCTACAAATAACATTTTCTAAATACAACTACGAGCAGTGTTTCTTCCAGACTTTTTTTCTCCGGGGGAAGGGGGGGGGGGCGGTCAACATTTTCCGGGAGGGCGGACTCTAGTAAAAGTATATGTTTGCTATATAAATTCCATCTCGCTCGGGGGGGGGGGGGGGAGTAGAGATCTGCCTGGAAGAAACTCTGACTACGAGCCAAGATTAATTTTTAACAAGTCGTATTCTTATGGATTGGCTAAAGTAGGCTACTTTGAGTAGAGTACAGTCAATCACCAACTTTGTTCTTCGCATCTAGAAATCTAGTGACTACGCGTATGAATCCGATGTAAAATTATTTTGATTCTTTTAGTATGGTTTTTATTATCAGCTAATGATTAAAAGACAATTTATTAAAATAAGGACATTTTAAACCGTTTAAATGACCAGAATAAAAACCAATGATCTAGGTTAGTCCTATGTTTTGTTCTGTGGGTTTCAAAATTTATGATAGCTATGTTGTAAGGTAAAATTTTCAATAACTTAAGCCTAACTTTTATCGTTTACAATTTATGAGGAAATATGGCCACCGTTTAGTTTCCGAAGACACAGTTTACTGTTTTACTTATAATAATTACATCTAATCTAGATCTAGAGTCTAGATCTACAGCGGTTTACCTATTTATCTAATTAATTACTTATCATAGATTTTATTACGTATTCTGATTTAATCAGGTATGCACTCCTTAGAAAACTATTGATGGTAAATTAAATTAAAATTTTTAAAAAATTAACGCTGGCGAAGGCCAAGCAAGAGGCATAGCGACCTAAGAAATTCAGTTTTTTTTTTTTTTTTTGTAGGCTACACGTTATTTTTGTTAAGAGGCCCCGTTCTCAACAGAGTTACAGTTAATGAATCTACTGATCTGACAGATTTCTTTCTTTTTTGTTTTTTATTCGAGTTGGTTTTAATTGGCTGTTAGTTAACACTAACAGAACAGTCTAACACATACTACACTCCCCTCTGTCTTATTAATTTAACGTTTTTAAATTGGCCTTATAAATCAGCATGCTTGCTTTTGTCGTCATAAAATTGTCAAAATTAGTCAGTGTGTGTTTTGACACAGGTCTTGGTAAAATGCAAGAATTGAAATGGTGAATTACCTCACCCGAATTCCAACAGGCCGATGATTTACAATACTTCAACTTTGATGCTGACTTAAATTTGTAAACTTTAGGCCTATAATGAAGACGCTCACAGCAAACATTTCTTCAATTCCAATGAACCTGATGTTCCAGATTTTACCGCAGCGAAATATTTTGATTGAACAACTTCTTTCTAATGTATCGACTTAGTGAATACCAATTACCATGGTTTGAAATAGCTCAAAATACAAAAGAGGGCATAGGCCCCCTACTGTAAGATTAGGTAAAATGTAGTTATTTTTTATCTTCAATAAATTTTATATCAATCCAAAATTTTCCGCTGATATTTTTCAGCTAGAAATTTACTGATATAGGCCCAATTTATAAAAAAGTAGGATAATTATCGTTTTATATTGTAGTTCTATAAAAGAAACGTATGTTACTTCTCTCGAGCTCGGTTTCTTATGCGTGGTAGTAGGCCTTGAAAGTATAATTTTACATGGACTTAAAATGGTTCCAAATAGGTTTTTCTTATTGCTTGGTTTGGAGAAAAATAAGTGTTGTAACTATCAATTTTATGACATATCCAATATGCTTAATCCTCTTTATGAACTCACAATGACCCAAAGTATGTTTTTCATATTACTAGGTTTAGGGAAAAATTAAAGTGACTTTGTTGACAACTCAGATAGCAATCTTTATACTAATACATATGCTATGTATGGCTATGGGCATACTCATAGCTAAACTAATCTGAAATCAAAATGATCCCTCGGCAGAGACGGATTTTTCTCCCTTTGACAAAAAAACATGAACAGGCAATCACAGGGGCAATGATGTTTGCAATCAGATTCTCAATAAAGAAAAAGAAATATAGCATGCATGACATATGTACTTGTTTAGTTTATAAGTTTTCTTTTTGCGCATCTAGAGAAAAAAAAAGCAACCAAAAGCATAAAACAAAAACTAATGTCTTGCAAATTTTTTTGTGTCTCACTAATTTACCCATGATTTTTCCATCTCGAGTCTCGCATTTTACCAAGACCATTTGACAATGATTTATTTAAAATCGTATGTAATTTAAGTCTAGGCCAATCAAATGAATTGTAAAGAGTAATGTAGTGAATGATGTTTGGGTTGATGTTTAAGCTCTACAGACACCAATGTTTTGTCAATTTTCAATTTCACCATTTTTATAACTATTTATATCCACCCTCATTTTCTAAGTACTTGCCGAAATAGCATTACTTTTTTATTCCATGAAGTACTTGGACCTTTGGTTAAAAGTTAGGATTTTATAGCCTAGTAGTGAATTCTGCTAATTGAAGTAACAGGAATTGCTGATATCAGTATTTAGACTGTTAGATCAATATTATAACTATTCCTATAATTAATCAGTTAAGAATATTTTCATTACACCTGCCCTACTTTCTTATTTTCACCAGAGAATGATAGTCAGTCATAAATTGTGCGTATTCCAAGGCAAATGAGTTATAAATGGGTGGGTTTATAATTATTACTATAGTGAACTAGTCTGACCCATCTCATTGAGTATTTATACTAGAATCAGTAGAATGTCATATAGGTGCTGAACGTGACATCTAACTCTGATAAATGTCCTCACTGCACTTTTTGCAGAATCTCCTTATTTTGTTTAAGCTAGAGAAATGTTCTCCCATCCTATTCCAACAAATATTGCAACTTTTTGGTCTTGAATTAAGAAATGCAGGTTTTTCATTGTCAACCATGTGTCAGTCTCTCAGGGCTGCATATTATTGTTGCGCATAATTTAAATATAATGATTTTTCATCCAGGGTGGTACAATTTTACACTTATGCACACATGGTTATTATGCTTTTGCCATCAGCAAAAATTAAAATTGGAACCAGCATAATTTTAATTTTTTGAAATTTTTTCTTGTGGTAACATTTGGCTCCTGGCTTAGAGTTTTACAAATAACCTGCAAATTAAATTAGAGCTGTATATATAATTCAGTTCTTCTCATTTATAATATTCATATAATGTAACACAGTCCCCTACTTCCAGTCAAATGTCAAGTGGTGTTAACTTTGACACAGTGGATGTTAGTTGGATGTTTTCTTAATATAAACAGCCAAAGGTTCCAGGTCCTAAAAATAAAAATAAAACTCTGTAAGCATAGCTATTGATAAAATGATCACCAAGCAGCACAGAATGTTTAGTTCTGATAATATAAATTTATATTTTGGTATGTACCAACAGCAGTAGATTCAAATTAAAATTTGCCTATTTTTTTTAGATAAAACATTTTGTGAGTATCAATATCGCTATGCCGATACATATTATGATATTAATTTAGATTTAGGTACTTCATCTACAATCAAAAAGGGGTGTAGGACAGTCGTTTGATTCTTGGTGACTTTTTATTATTTAAAAAATTACATTAATATTAAAAAAGAAAATAGAATACCCCTGTACAACTTGTAAAATTATTTGTAAGTCTAATGACATCAAATCTTATTTATTAAGTCTATTTTTTCTTAAGTATATTATGGTAAATTGCTAAAATAGAGTGGCTTTGCTATAATGTTTTCCCACAGTATCAAAATGTAATAAATTTACAAAGTATTATCTAGGGGATGCAGTGAGTATGGTGTGACAACATTTTAAAGTACTCTAAATTATTAAATTAAGACATGATTGATTAGAGATCTTTCTCTAAACTTGTGAGGCTTATTTCCAGTCTGCCTTTTTAATTGATGTCAGCCTTTTAGAAGTCTACCTTATAGTCTGTCGGCCTTATGTTCAGTCTTTTTACTTTCTTGTTAACAAAGTATAGAGAAAGAGTTCAAATCGTGTAAAAAAAAAATCGAGATTTTTGCAAATCTCGATGTTTTACACCTCCCTGAGTCGGAAAAACATAGTTTTGCAATCTTGTCCGTATGTCTCTGTGTGTGTATGTGTGAGTGTGTGTGTCTGTAAACACGATAACTTGAGCACCGTTACAGCTAGGTTGATGAAATTTCATTTATAAGTATTACTAGACTTATCCGGTCATCCCTTGGATAACTGTGGGTTTCGGGGGTCATCCATAAATGACATCATGTCTCTCACTTTTCATCACAAAATAACCAAACCCCACACTCAAAAAGACGTTTTTTATCTTTTAAAAACACCGATTTCGGCTGAGCATCCCTTCATATACTGACGTCACAGGTGACCTTTTAAAAGTTCTATTAATTTTAATGACACCGAATTTAAAATTTAGCCTTCGTTCTCCAAAGCAAATTTTAAAATGCTTTTCTTGCATATCTAGCCCTGGCCACCTATAGCAATGTTTATATAACATGAAAACCCGCCATTTTGCTCGTGGTAAACATTTTTAATACTAATTCTACAAATGCCTCTGGAATTTGGCCTAAAAATGGTCAGAAGTCATGCGTCCGGTTGGGACGCCATATTGTTGTTAGCAACCGACCACGCCTCCAAGTTAGCGAGTAATCCTGCTATATCTAGATCTAGAACCTAGATAGAAAAATCCCATGTATTTTCGAATTAGATTATCATTGAAACTAAATAAAGATTTATACAAAATAATTAAGGCCTGAAATAGATTCTAGATGTAGAATGTACGTTAAGTCAAGATCTATAGAATTTACGTAAAGTCTAGTGACCAATATCTAGATTCATAATTTTTTCTTCCTTCGACAGCTGATCTGTAGATCTAGAGAAATTTATTGTAAAACTAAATGAAAAAGACAGTTGAAAATTGATGTAAGTGTTGGAACGTAATAAATACAGCAAACGGACGTATTGTTAAAGTTTTAGCCGACAGAAAATTAATGTGGTTAATCTACCAATGAATAAATCAATACATTAATTAACGTCTTTAAATAAATTTGTGATTAACAGTCTGTCTGAAAACAAAAATTGTTCTCTACCTACATACTATTTTACAGGTCTACACATAGAGCAGATTCTCTCCATTAGCAAATCAGACAAACAAATGAATATTCAAACATGTAAACAAAGTTGAGTTTAGTAGTATGTAGATATCAAATTTGTAGATCTGTATCAACTTTTCAGCGATTTCCGATAACTGGAAATGGAACTTTTTCGACTTTCAATTTTTCAAAAGCCTATAGCTTAAGTACTATTTCAGATAGATAAATGAAATTTCACGTGTAAGTAAATAATCTAATTATCTGCCTTCTTTCAAATTTTGATTAATTTCCGATGACCGGAAGTAGTACTTTACACTATTTCCTATTTCTCAAAAAACGCATGTGAAGTACTAATAATATTCCGCACTATTATACACATTTTGTTTGGCGTTCACTTGGTGTGCAATTCTTTTTTCTACGAGCTTCTATTCTACTTTAAAAAGTTTAAGTAATTAAAAATAGATTAAAATCCCAATTGACCATCCTCCGTAGTGTTATATAAGATTATTCGAGAAATTTTAGGGGAGATCACTCATGGTTTATTTATTTGTGCCTATAATTACCTGTCGACTTATTGTCCATTTTGGCCTTTCGTCTGGATCCCCCAAAAAAATGAGAAAAGTATTATTCTTGACAGTTATTATTAGAGGCAGATTATTGCAGACAATTAATGCTTTTGTTGCTGAAAATTAGTTAAGGGTAGGCCGCATTAGTCTCAGCATTATAAAGTAAACACCTGGATCCCAATATCAATGCTAAGCTAAAAAAATATTTATCTACGCAGTCTAGGTAAAAGTTGTAAAAATTAAGTTTGCCTTTTTTTTTTGAGAAAAATGACTCAAAAAAAAGATTCTCATTTAAGCCTTTTTTTTACATCTTTGTTCTATCACCATTCTTTATTATATTATATTATATATTTTTGTACTAAGCTTATTAATAAAACATTTAGTTCTTTAATTATTATTTAAATAATCCATACTAAAGAATGACTGCATTAGAAATGAATTGACACATTATAAATACAAAACAAAACATTGTAATAAAAAACCACACAAAACCATTAATCTTCCATAAGCCATATACTATTGGCCAGCATGCCAGATTTGCTCAGCTTCACTTTGTCACAAGTTGTGGAATGAGTTTCAATGAAATTAGCTTTCCATAACATGGTCCAGATACCCATCAGAGCTGGTTGGAATCTGGGACTTTTGGGTTTCAGTCTAACTCTCTACCCTTCAAACACACCATCCTACTGAAGTTTTCTACATACATTTTATGTGATTTATTGTTAATCTTTGCAAGTTGTCTATAAACCAACTTACATTTATATACTTTATTGTTCATCTTTGCAGGTTCTCCATAATCCAGCTGATCCCATCAATGGATACACCAGAAAGTTAAATTTCCAAACTCACATTCAACTTCCTAATGGATGTTAATCATCATTACTGCCCTAAGGTGAGAGGTCGGTCTCTGACTCTACCCACCCCAGAGTTCATCCGCACTGACCGCGTCAAGCGCAACAACCGCGACAACCGCCTCAGCCTGGAGTCCAGCTTCCCCCCACCATGCACATGGACAGAGAAGGATTGTTCCAAAAAAGTAAGTCTGCAGCTTTGCTGTTTTATATATACTTTTAAGTTTAAGTTTTTTCAGTGTTTTATTTTTTGTCCAGCTGAAAAAAAAACCCTGAGGTTTACTGTTTTTATGCTAACTTCACTAACACTAACCAATGTATAACTTACCATGGGCTGGCTGCTGTCATTTTTAACATTGTATTCTTGAATTATATTCATAATATCATTAGTGTACATACACAAATATAATAAATTAATTAACTTGTTTTAACATCTTCTATGTGAATGAAAGTGAAAGACTTGAATTTGAATGAATTTTTGCTAGTAAACATTTTTTTTTAACTAAGATGCAAGTTATCACTGTCTTTTTAAAATTTCATTTTCAGTACTATCGGTTTTTTCATTCAAAATCAGTTTTGCAATTTTAACATTTTTATAATAGTAAAAAAATGTTGTTTTATATTATGTTGGTTTAAATATTTTCTAACAGTTAAAACAGTATGTTTCCTGGAATTATTCAACTTTACAAAAGCTATTTTATTATAACCTCATATAGATCTAGATCTAGTATTTTTTATACAACTGAGTAGTGTTAAAAAATCCTGAGTAAATTTTGTAACTCATTATTTTTTGATTATGTCACTAATGGAGTATGTGTGTTACACTTGGATACTTTGATTATGGTTAACATAATTTAAATCTTTGTTGAAGTTACATCACTCATTTGCCCTCAAATATTTATTTTTTAAACTATATATAAAATTGCCTTATGTAATAGTTTTTTGTTTAGATAGTATTCATTAATCACCTCACACTACTGAATGTTAGAACTAGGATCCCACCCCAAAAAGATGTCCCCAAATATACTTACCCTGTTCCCCACCCCCTGATCAACTTTCGCTATGATTTTTCTTATCCCTGCAACTAAAATCAGCAAAGTAACCCAAGCCACCCAAATAAGATTATAAAAAATTTGTACTTTAGTTTTTTTTTTTTTTTTTTGAAGAGTGTGAAATTAGAAAAAGTCATAAATAATTTGCTTGAAAAGGTTTGTATTTTGGTACCTTTAACCTTAGCCCTGTAGTTGGCAAAAAGCTTAACTTTTTGTGGTATACTTTTTGTATAGGTGGCTGGGCTTATCTGGAATAGGCCAACACAGTCACGATAAATTTAAAAAAATGTATCAACTTTTATCAGTAACCCTCTAGAACCCTCTCCCCCCCCTTTTCCACTAGATCGTGATGTATTAATGTAGGTACCGATAGAACACACTACATGCAACCTAATAGAATGGTTAGTAAAGAATACAATAGGCCTAGGCTTACACATCTCGCACCTCATTAGCAAACAGCGGCAGATCTTGTTTGGATAGGGCCTAAGTTCAGCTGCTTGATGACAAAAATTGAATTAGCCGTACACACTCATTAATGTCGCCGCCGATAACGATTCTGTGTTAGGATTGATAGCAATAGCAGCTAGAAAAACACGCGTGTATGGGAAACGGCTACAGGACATTACCCCCCCCCCCCCCGAGCAATCACCCCATGTCAATTACCCCCCCTGTCATTCTCAAGTTAGAATCCTAATTCTAACTAGAATTCTATACCTATATACTACTTTAATCCAAACCTTAAGAAAAGGACCAAAACCTAAGCATCCACCTCAGCCTAAAACTTCACACAAAACCAAAACCAACGCTAGACATTGGTTTAAGCCTAACCCTAGCTCTAACCCTAACCTTAACCCTAACCCTAACCCTAGCCCTAAACCTAACCCTAACCCTAGCCCTAACCTTAACCTCAACCCTAACCCTAGCCCTAGCATAAACCTAAACCTAAACCTAGCCCTAACCCTAACCCTGTCCGGGGGGGGGGGGGGTAATCTCCTACTGGGCGAGGGGTTATTGACAGGGGGTAACTACTCCGGGGGGGGGGGGGAATGTTCGGAGGGTAATTGACAGCGGGGAAATGCCCTGCTGCCATGGGAAACAGAGTATGTATATATATATATATATATATATATATATATATATATATATATATATATATATACAGAGAGAGATAGAGAGTTATACAAGTTGGTAGAACCCCCCCCCCCATTGGGAAGGTTGGTGGCGCTTTTAACAATTGATGTATAATTATTTATAACTCAATACCCCTGCTTAAAATGGGCTTTTAAAATATTTTTTTTCAACCCTTTTCGCCCCCGCCTTAGGGTCGGCTCACTGGGTGGCCGCCCCATCCGCTCTCCCCTAGCTACGCCACTGATGGGAAATAGCCATGTAACTATTCTTCTTATGTTGTGCTATAGAGAAAGTTATGAGAGCGTTTCTGTTGAGTAAAGGGCAACATCTAGTAGACTTGTTGAAGTTTAATTAGTAAACTGCCTAGACACATCTTGTCTTAATGAACTCTACTGACCTGCTTCATCTCTGGTCTTATTGATGCTTCATCATTTAATTACAGTTTTTCTTTACCCAATGTGTCAGATTTCTGTTTGGCTGGTTCTCGGGTCCTAGTCTAAAAATGTTCTGTTCTATAAAGTCTGGTTGTCGGGTCCTAGTCTAAAAATGTTCTGTTCTATAAAGTCTGGTTCTCGGGTCCTAGTCTAAAAATGTTCTGTTCTATAAAGTCTGGTTGTCGGGTCCTAGTCTAAAAATATTCTGTTCCAAAAGTCTGGTTCTCGGGTCCTAGTCTAAAAATGTTCTGTTCTATAAAGTCTGGTTGTCGGGTCCTAGTCTAAAAATATTCTGTTCCAAAAGTCTGGTTCTCGGGTCCTAGTCTAAAAATGTTCTGTTCTATAAAGTCTGGTTCTCGGGTCCTAGTCTAAAAATATTCTGTTCCAAAAGTCTGGTTCTCGGGTCCTAGTCTAAAAATGTTCTGTTCTTTAAAGTCTGGTTCTCGGGTCCTAGTCTAAAAATGTTCTGTTCTATAAAGTCTGGTTCTCGGGTCCTAGTCTAAAAATGTTCTGTTCTATAAAGTCTGGTTCTCGGGTCCTAGTCTAAAAATGTTCTGTTCTATAAAGTCTGGTTCTCGGGTCCTAGTCTAAAAATGTTCTGTTCTATAAAGTCTGGTTCTCGGGTCCTAGTCTAAAAATGTTCTGTTCTATAAAGTCTGGTTCTCGGGTCCTAGTCTAAAAATGTTCTGTTCTATAAAGTCTGGTTCTCGGGTCCTAGTCTAAAAATGTTCTGTTCTATAAAGTCTGGTTCTCGGGTCCTAGTCTAAAAATGTTCTGTTCTATAAAGTCTGGTTCTCGGGTCCTAGTCTAAAAATGTTCTGTTCTATAAAGTCTGGTTCTCGGGTCCTAGTCTAAAAATGTTCTGTTCCAAAAGTCTGGTTCTCGAGTCCTAGTCTAAAAATGTTCGGTTCCAAAAATCTGGTTCTCAGGTCTTAGTCTAAAAATGTTCTGTTCTATAAAGTCTGGTTCTCGGGTCCTATTCTAAAAATGTTCTGTACTAAAAAGTCTGGTTCTCGGGTCATAGCCTAAAAATGTTACTCTACACTACTGTTCTGCATGTCTCTTGAGTAGTATATTGTTCTAGGGTCTCAAGCTTTCACAACGCCTGTGTCTGTCTGAATACTAAAGCTGACAGTTTTATGCGTGCTCCATTGTTACAAACAAACCCGCATGAACTGATGTAAGCTTGCCCCATGTGCACCTCATCGATTGCGAGAGTGCGGTGAAATGTCAGTGTTGTTAAGTCTGGCCTCGCATATCCCAGTCCTACACTTTACGCCTAGTTTCTATCATTGTTAGACTAGGCTTCCATTTAACTGTTTCACCTTGACGGTGTGTGTAGCCAACAACAAAGATGCTAATCCTAGTATAAGCAGCTTTGTCTTTGAGATTTACCTTTGTTTTTGAGAACAGAATTGGGGCCTCGACATGTGAATAGTTTGAGACCCGCTGCTTGACATTTTAGCATGTTTTCTCGTGCATGCCGTGATGTTGATATAGATATGTTTTATTAATATCTTACGATCGATACCTATCTTGTTAATATATGGAAAGAAATATTTTTAAAAATCTATCCATAAATAATTTTGTGGAAATATAATATACACTTTTGCCACTACTTGTAAAACAAAAAGAACTTTTTGATAAAGTTTATTTTTAAACTTGTCGTGAATTTCTTGATGTTAACTATTTTTGCTTTCTGCCTATAGAAGTAGAAACTATGTTTGCTACATGGCTAATAGTAACATAACGTGTCATATTAATCTACATACAAACAGTCGCCACTAATAAGTTTAGTTTGTTTTCTACAAATAGAAAAGTATAACTGACTATATTTTATCATTACCTTATGTCAGACAGGAGTGTTTATACATTTACAGATGAAGGTATATTTTGTTTGCTAATCGGCCAGTGCTATTTTATCAACTATGTTATATGCTTGTGGATTTATAGCTCTATCACCGTTTGTTTTTCGTTGTAACACTGATTGTTGTTACAAATTGTATTTGTGTAAACTTTGAAGATTATCAACGCCAACAAAAATGACCCCCGCCCCAGGAAATTTTAAGCGCGCGCCTCCCCACGGAAATTTCAAGTGCCCCACCATCCCGCGGAAATGCCTGAAACTGTGCTAGCTATGCTCTTCAAAAACATACCAGCCCTATTGTAGACTGCGCGACCCAACAGTTTATTATTATACACCATCCTCCCCCCCCCCCTAAAAGACCTACACTAGGATCCCACTATACACCATCCGCACTAAAAAACAAAAACAAAAAAAACCAAAAACATTAGGCCTACTGTCCACACAACATCTAGTTATTTATTTAGTTGTTTTACGTCTCCGTTGAACATATGCGCATTAGTATATTCCCTCCTTGTTTATCGATTACTCTGGTCTGCAATGTTTTGTACTATTTTTCTTTTCTTCCCCTTCAATCTTCCATTTTCGAAAATAACACGCAATAAGTTTTTAGAGCTATTTATAGAATTTCACTTAGATATCATAATATATGTTTTATTAAAACCCACCGTACTTAATACGTTTGGCATCACGCTTTACTCAAA